TTTTTTTTTTTTTCAGAATAACAACGAAACCAGCTAAGATCAGTAACAGCGATAGCAGCAACAGTAATAATAACAATAACAACAGTACCTTAGTGATTCTGACTGAATTTGAATATCTAAAACCAACTTCCAAAACTTAAGATCAATAAGCTTAAAAAGCGCAGAAGCAAAGGAAAGAAAATCAGCATATATGACCAAATCCCCAAGATACCAACACCAAAATCAACATCACCATCATCACCATTTCCATCACCACCGCCACCACCACAACCACCACCGCCACCACCACCACAACCACCACCACAACATCCACCACCACCAGCATCACTACCACAATCATCACTAGTTGCAGTTCTAAAAGTTTTTCCTCTCTTCCGCCTCTTCAAGGGCTAACATTCAGCATAAGTTTTAATCATGTCACAACAATAACAACAACAAAAACAACAACAACAACGATGAAGAAAAAAGCTGACATAGAGGAAAACTTATTGGAAGTTCCATGGCAGAATGACATTATCCAACAGAAAAAAACAGCAAAAATATTCTGTTATGTCAACTTGTTTGCTCAATTTCAAACGAAAAAAACCCAATTCAAACTAAAAAGTCAGCAAAAAAAAAGACGACTACCAACTAAGTTTGCCTAAACTGTTACTTTTCCAATGACTGATCGACTGACTGATTGACTGATAACGTTTAATCAACAATTATGAATGCTATTGGTAACCAAATAACTGTACATCATATACAAATCAAATTAATAGCTTAATTTTTAACTCACGATTAACTTTTTGTAAAAAAAATTTTCTTTTAAAGATTTTATCATCTCAACAAGTTTTCTAAACTTCGGCTTTTTTATCCGCCAATCTATTTAATTATTTCATCAGTAACTTTACTGCTAAAAGCAAATTATTCAGTCCATTAAATAATTCCCTAAAAAAAAACTGCTTTCTTTTTAAGCAATTTGCTCTGTAAAGGAGGTGTTCTTTTTTTTGCAAAAGTACAAATGATTTGTATTAAAATTAAATTTTTTTCAACTCCATTTTTATCCCCGACAAACAAAATGAAGAGTGACGTTCCAAAAAAAACTGCATCCACAACTGGAAGACGACAACTACGAAGGGAAAAAAGTAGAGGCAGATGATGACGATAAAGATGATGAAGAACAGGAGAGGAGAGGGGAGGAGGGGGAGGAAACGAAGAAGAAGAAGAAAAAGAAACACTTGTTTCTACAAATTTGATTAAATCAAAAAACTGTTTTATGTGCCCTAAGAAACGACAACAGAAAAAAAAAGATGGAAAATTTTTAGTATCTACTTCCACTTTTTTTTTCCTTACGCAGAATAATTTAGACGAATATTATGCAGTTATTTCTTGTTAGAAAAAAATAAAGATGAAGCAATTGCAGGACAACACGACAGACTGACTCGTATTTATATTTTACTTAAGAAACAAAAGAGTTCTGCTAACGCCTAGAAGGTAGGGAGAGATGTCTGCTAGTAGTAAAGAACAATATAAATACTGAAGCACTTTATACGTCACCACTTATCTACAAAGTCTGTCTACCGTAACTGTTGCAAAAAAAAAAAAAAAACATTTAACAGTACTCCTGATGCCGATTCATCTTTGGTATACCTGTATCCCCGCTCTACTCCTCAAAAAAAAAAATAACCCAACATATAAAAAAATACAGGAAACTTTTTTGTTGATAAGTTCGAACAGAAAAATAGTAAAGAACAGACAAGTAAAGATTTAAGTAAACGTCAACAAAAAGGAAAAACAAATAAACAACTAAAAATAGCTTAAACAAAACGCCAAAATACATTGGAAGGTAACGATTAACTCATGCAGATTTGTCTCAGTTTAGCATGACTAACACAGGAAAAAGAAAGTACTAACTCGGGGTAAAGTTTCAAAATTCTTCAGCTGACACTGTAAACTTTCAATTCGTTTCAATGCTCGTTCCAGCTGTGCACCCTGATGACACGTTTCACGAAGGCCCTAAACACAGCATCAAACAGTATATACCAACATCAACACCAATATCGACATCATTGTCAAGCATAACTTCAAACATAAAAATAATGCACACAGCTAAACTCAACAATTGAAAAAAGGTAAAGAAGAAGAAAAATAATTGACTGAGTGGGTAAATGAAATAATAAACAAACATTTCAACAGATTTCCTAACAAGGTAAATTCAATAAGCAAAGAGCAAAGCAAAGGTTAAATTCTTTGGTAAATATAAATATCAAGCAAAAAAATTTTTTTCAGAGCTAAATATTTGCCTCAACATGTCGGCGTTCCTCTTCCAGCAGTTTACTTATATATCGTACACGTTTTCTTCTCCAATCCTCCTTTTTTTCCGGCTAAAAAAACCCAAATCATCAATAACTGCACTAAATCTTGTATCAGTACAAAAAGATAATTGAAGAGTAATCCAGAAAGCAAAAAAAATTAGAAAAAAAACTGCAATCGACTGTGTTCAAGGATATGAAAAATTAGGTAAACAGTAGCAATACTATCTCAAGTAAACCACGGAACAACCTTAAAATACCTTCAAAAAATGTTCAGTGAGCAAAAATTTTTCCCATCCAATCTAATCCCTTAGAACCATTCAGCAAAAAAATAGAACCTTTAAGTGCTCAAGTCCTCTCCTAATTTCTTTTTTTTTTCAACTTCACCAAATTTCATGCACATCTGTTTCTTTCTTTATACCCGTTCTTAGTACCAAAAATCCTATTAGGTTTGAAGTTTCAGCAGGAGAGAATCTAACAACTAAATACAACTAAATGCAACAGACGAAACAGACAGGAAGTTAGGCCAAGTAGGTCTTTGATCCGGTGGAATTAAGGTCGCACTAAAGCTGGCTATCTGTTTATCCCCCCATTCAAATAACCATCAAACCGCCGGTCTATATATCTATCTATCTATCTGTCTATCTATCCATCCATCCATCTATCCATCTGTCTATGCAGTTATGCCAACCAACTTGAATTCAGCAAACTAACAAAGCAAAACAATATCCAGCAATTACCCTACCATTGTTTGCCATCACTTCCTTTGCAAACTTTCCTTTTCTCTGTTTCTTCCCTTCATGCTCAAGTACTCTGAGCTTTCTTCCGCTCACCCCCCTCTCTTAGTCGCCTCCTCTCTTCAATGTAGTCAAAGAGCAAAAAAAACTTCCGAAAACATAAGACCAGCCAATTTTTTAAATCTCCAAATCGTATAAATCGCATTAAAATTTGGGATTTCTAATATTTAATAACAGTTAACACGAACACTTTTGCAGATCAGCAGATTATAGACCGCTTGATAAACTGATGATCAAAGACAGATATACGGATATGCACACAGATAAAAATCATGAAAAAGACTTTAATAGGTATAAAAGCAGAAGATTTTCACCCACCTCATACGGTAGTGCCGTATGTATAATGGGTCGTTCAAAACTGCGCATGTCGACAGCAGCCCGGTATTCCGGTGGAAGGGGTTCTGGTGGAAGTCCCAACAGTGTGAGCGCCACGGTTTGACCACCTGAGCATGAATTGATCGTCAAATAATGAAGAGTAAGAGTAACTAGCCAACATAATAAAATGATCTCAAAAAGTTATAAACTTTTAAGTTTATAAAAGTTTATAAAGTTTATAAAGTTTATAAAAATTTACAATACAGTTTTGGCAATTATTATTTGAAAAGTTCAAAATAACAAATGACAAGGTTTATTATTCGTTAAAAGTAAAATTATACTAGTATATTCTTGTATCCTATCTTCCCTTTACCAAACCATATCACTTCCATTTCGCAAATAAAAATTTTAGCAAAAAGTCAAAAAAAAAAATTGACGACTACTTGAGAGCATATTATATGAAGAAAAGTGATCTGATAATAACACAAAATAAGCAGATTTGATTATATTAGAAA